TGTCCTTCCCTTCACCTAAGATAATTCTTATCTACTATCTATTTAGTAAATGACCCTCATCCTCCCTACCCACCCTCCTAACCATCAAAGAATGTTTTCTTCTGTGTTTAAACTTATTTCACAATTTTTAAAAGATTAAAAAGTACATTAATTTAAATAGTGTTTATTTATTAAATCTCCAAACAATCAAGAGCTCAGTTGTATTGTTTATATTGTAAGTGTGGGGCAGGGAAACCTGAAGCTAAGTCTTGGATTATTTTTCTGTCAGCCATTAACACTGGACCTTCCCAGACACCAACAGCCTGACTCCGAAACTTGGCTCATTTGTTTCCAAACCACTGCACAACTAATAATGGATGAGCATCTTACTTTTTATGCCCAAATTATTTTTCTAAAAATTATTTATTTATTTATTTTTGTTGTTGAGAATGTACACAGCAAAAACATATACCAATTCAAGTTTATACATGTACATTTCAGTGGCACTGACTACATTCCTCAAATTGTGCAACATTCTACCTTCCTTTTCTGAGTTGTTCCTCCTGAGTTGTTCCTCCTTCCTTAATGTAAACTCACTCCCCCCTAAGGTTCTTATCTAATCTTTAGAATTACTGTTGTCGATTAGATCCCATTAAAAAAAAAACCCAAGCCCATTGCCCTCCAGTTGATTCTGACTCATAGCATTGCAACAGGATAGATTAGAACTGCCCCATAGAGTTTCCAAAGAGCACCTGTGGATTTGAACTGCTGAACTTTTGATTAGCCAGGGTAGCTCTTAACCACTATGCCACCAGTTTCCAGATCCCATATAGATAGTTCTTAAAAGAGCATAATGGTCAAGGCAGAGATTGTTTACTAGTTAAGCTAAACTATTGTTTGTTTTTAAGAAGAATTCAGTGGATATTTTTGATTAAGGTTTAAAGATTATCTTAGAGCAGTAGCCTCCATGGCTCCAGAAAGTCTGGATTCCATGAGAATTTGAAATTCTGTTTTGCATTTTCTTTGTTTTGATTATCTATAGAATCTTTGATCAAAACTTTCAGTAATGGTAGCGGGCCACCATCCAGTTCTTCTGGTCTGGTGGCATAGGAGGCAGTTGTTCATGGAGTATGCCCAAATTATTTATTTGATTATCAGAAGAACCCCATGAGGTTTTGTTACTCCTATTTTACAAATCTGAAATCTGAGACTCAGAAATGACTCAGTAATACTAAATGACTAGTCTAAAGTTATACAGCTAATGATTTGGACGATTACTTTTTATTATAGGTCCACCCTGTCCTCAGCCTTGTCCATGTACCATCCCCTATTTTTTTCTTCCTCCAACTGCCCCAGTTACTTCCCTAAAACATTTCCAGTCTTTTTACCTCGTGCTTGCTTCAAGATTTTTTTGGTTTAATTTGGTTTGTTTTAATTAGCTTATTTAAAAAAAATTATGCATTATTTTTTAGAGCAGTTTTAGGTTACAGAAAAATTGTACAGAAAGTATAGAGGGTTGATGAACCCCACATTGATACTAATTGTTATGTAACTGAAATCCACAGTTTACATTAAGATTCACTCTTTGTATCATACAGTTCTGTGGTTTTTTTGTTTTGTTTTTTAAATAGGCTGGAGTTTTTAGAGCAGTTTTTGGTTTATAGAATTGTGCAAAGAGTGCAGAGAGTTCCCATAGTCCTTCTTTCCCCCTGCTCACAGTTTTCCCTGTTATTAACGTCTTTCATTCCTGTGTGTGGTGTGATGATGGATCACTTTCATGTGGCCTTTCTCGCCATGGTGGGACTGTGTAGATAGGGTAATTGTGGCCCACCAAGGGGAGTGATCAGTTTTGTCATCCTGCTGGGCTTGAAATGAGCCATCCCAGAGGTGGGAAAGGGAGGATCCTACCATCACCAAGGAAGGACAGCCAAGAGTGGAGTGTGTCCTTTGGACCCAGGATCCCTGCACTGAGAAGCTCCTGGAACTAGAAGAGAGAGAGAGCGAGCTGTAACATTGAAGATGACGAGAAGCAGTAGCAGCGAAATGGTGGCAGTAGAGATCGGCAGGAGCTGGCACAGTGGGCTTCCAGGCCTACAGAGTGAGAAAGCTGAGGGTCTTTGGGCAGGAGGCTTGCTGGTGGAGTAGGGTCCCCCCGGGCACTTGGTGGAGCTGGGTTTGCCAACCCATGGAGCTAGAGCTGAACACCTTCAGGCAGAGGCTTAGGGGCCTAGTGGGGTGCCTCGGGGCACTTATTGGCAGAACTAAAAGAGCTTTGTAACACTTGGTCCGAGCTGCAGAGGCTGAAGTCCAGAGAGAGGCGTGCCTGCAAGCATAGCTGAAAAGAGGCTGTCCTGATGGAAGAACTTATCCTGAGTGTTTCCTAACCTGAATTGTAACCTGTTACTTCTCTAATAAACCCCATGACTGTGATTATTGTCTGTGAGTTCTGTATGACCATTGCAATGAATTACTGAGCCCAGCAGAGACGTAGAGAGTACGGTGAGAGGGACGGTTGGTGTCAGAGTTGGTAAAGATGGCAGAGGAGGCATGTCTGACCTCTGCCTCATAGGAATCAGCCTTGGGCTGTTGATCTTGCTTCCACTTTCCCCTTGTGAAGTTGGAGGTTAGACACCACCCCACACCACTTTTACACTGTGGTATGCAATGGTTACAATTGATGAAGTAACACTGATACCCTATTATTAATTAAAGTCCATAGTTCCCATTAGGATTCACTCTTTGGGTTGTACAGTCCTGTGGGTTTTGATAAATGCATGATCTCATATGTCTACCATTATAGTATCATACAGACTGTCCTAAAAATCCCTTGTGTTCCATCTACTCATTGTTCCTTCTCCCCCTAAACCCCTGGCAAATACTGATCTTTTTACTCTCTCTATAGTTTAGCTTTTTTGAAAATGCCATGTAGTTGGAATCCTACAGTATGTAGCTTTTTTCCACAGGCTTCTTTCATTTAGCAATACCGATAGTCCCCAACTTACAACAGGATTCTGTTCCGACAACTGTTGTAAGTTTGTTCTGACAAAAGTCAAAATACCTCTTTTTTTCTATAGTTTTCATTATTGCCTTTTATTATCAGTATCTTTATAAATCCGATCTTTGTCTTTGGGGATTGGCATGAGAATGATAACATCAGCAAATTACATGTTGCAACATTTTATGTAGTACATATTACTAACAATAAGATATACCAAGATAAGATGTACCAAAAAGAAAAACGACAGATATAACTGCAGTTGATTGTAACTCAAATACATCCGGGACTACCTGTAGTACATTTAAGATTTCTGCATGTCTGTTTGTAGCTCGATCTCATTTTTTTCTATTGCTGAGTAATATTCTATTGTATAGATGTACCACAGTTTATCTACTCACTATTGAAGGACATCTGGGTTGCTTCCAATTTTTGACAATTATGAATAAAACTATGTTCGTGTGCAGTTTTTTGTGTAGACATGTTTTCAACTCATTTGGGTAAATACCTAGATGTGTGATTGCTGGGCTTGTATGGTAAGCCTATGTTTAGCTCTGTAAGATACTCTCAAACTGTCTTCCACAGTGGCTGTACCATTTTGCATTCCCACTAGCAGTGAATGAGAGTTCCTGTTGCTCCACATCCTCATCAGCATTTGATGTTTGCAGTGTTTTGGATTGGTTTTTATTTTTAATTCTTAAAAGTCTAGCAGTTCTTTAGTATGGTGTGCCAGATGTTTTTCAGTACTACAAAACGTAACAACTTAAGAAGATCTAGCAACTAGGGAAAGGCAGGGGATTCCTAAGGTTTGTGCAGTTTTATAGGATTTCCTACTTGTAATTGACTCGAGTGATTAATGATCAATACATTTTAATTTTGGACAGTTTGAAATGCTTAGATCATCAATTACATACCACCAGTTGCCCCCCAGTTGATTCCAACTTATGGTGACCCATGTGTGTCAGTAGAACTGTGCATAATAGGGTTTTCTTTCTCTCTCTCTCTTATTGTGATGAAAATATACATAACAAAACATACTCCAGCTCGACAATTTCTACATGTACAATTCATTGATATTGATTACATTCTTCAAGTTGTGCAACCATTCTCGCTATACTTTTCCAGATGATTCCGCCACCATTAAAATAAACTCAATGCCCTTGTCTTAGGCTGGGTTCTCTAGAGAAGCAAAACCAGTAAAGTGTATAAATATAAATATATATATATAGAGAGAGAGAGATTTATATCAAGGAAACAGCTCACGCGATTGTAGAGGCTAGAACGTCCCAAGTCCATGGATCTGGGTAGAGGCCTCATCCAAGTCACGCAGCCGCAGAAGCTGGCAAGCCCAAGATCTGCAGGTCGGAGAGCAGGGCTCCTGCTCACAGGCTGCACAGATTGTCGAATCCAAAGTTCAGCAGATAAGCTGACAGCTCAAGTCCCAAGAACTGGAGATGAGGCGACAGGAGGCAGCCCCAGGATCCAGAGAGAGCAAAAAGCCAGAACATCTGCTTATATTCAGATGCGGGCCACACCCTCAAGGAGACTCCCTTTCAACTGGCTACTCACAGTATATTCAATCATGGGAGTGATTACATTAAAACACTGAGAATCATGGCCCAGCCAAGTTGACACACAATCTTAACCATCACAGCGCCCAAGCAAAAACTCTCCCCTTTCTCCTCCTTAGGGTTTTTAATGACTGGTTTTTCAGAAGCAGCTCACCAGACCTTTCTTCTGAGGTGCTTCTGGGTGGGCTCGAAGCTCAGCTTTTCGGTTTGTAGCCAAGCACGTTAGTCATTTGCACCACGCAGGGACTCCGCACATTCAGAGTAGAAAACTGAATGTTAGTTTAGAATAAATTGTATTTTTATGGGTGAGATTATAAAGTATGCTACAAGGTACATAAGATATCTTTATGAATATCATTGCCTTTCATTGTTTTATTAGTAATAATTTTGCTATTTTTTTCTCATCTCAAAATAACATAACTTGATAATCAAGGTTTTTTTCCCCTCTATTTTAGTGGAGAAACCAGATTTAACAAGGAGAAAATAATTCAAGGTTGGTATAATCCTCTTATTTTAGCTCTTAAATTTAATGATATTGTGATATGTGAGTTAATTAGATTTGGTGGGGCTGCGTGGACTGGAGGGGACTCTTGTGATGTGAGATTACAGAATTAAAGCATTATAATAATAGAAATATGATCAGAACTATTGGTAACCAAGAAGAATAAATTCCTAAAGTGAACTATATGCAAAAAACCGTTCTCCAAATTGTTTGTGAGTAGCTTCAAAGTGGCCAGTCAGCTGACTAAGGAGTTATATTGGGTCAGTTGTTGTTGGGTGCCATTGAGTCAGTTCTGACTGATAGTGACCCTATCGGACAGAGTAGAACTGCCCTTTAGGGTTTCCGTGGAGCACCTGGTGGATTCGAACTGCTAGCCTTTTGGTCAGCAGCCGTAGCTCTTAACCACTATGCCACCAGGGTTTCCATATTGGGTCTAGGTGTCTTAAAATTTAACTGCCTAGGTTTAAAATAATTTCGTATTTGGAAGCGTAAAGTTTACTGGCTGGTGGTAATGGTATTTTTCTGCTAAGATAGTTGTTTTAATTTTAGTAGTAACAAAGAAGAGGTTTAAAAAAGAGAACTATTCTCACATGTATTTGTTACTTTATTCTGGACAGTTTTTCCCTCCCTTGTTCTGTTAACTTGGGCTTGGATCTTGAGCTCCCTGTGACCCAGCTAGCTAGTCTGGCTTTTTTTAAGACTGTCTTGGGTGAACTTTCAGATAGACACACTATTTCTGTGCTGTGATTATAAAAGCATTTAGGACTTTGTTGTAGTTGTTGTTAGGAACTTCTGAGGTTTACAGAAAGTGATTTTCATACCCAGTGTGTGTAACTCCCTCTTTTGGATACCAGTCTGATAGTTAAATGAACCTTCATTTTCAGATGACACGTGCCCCACCCAAATTGTTCTTCGGACTTTAGTCTCTTACCACCTTGTCCTTTGTTGTGGAGTTGAATTCTACTCATAGGGACTCCACGTGACCATAAAACCTGCCCCATGGGGTTTTCTAGGCTGTAATCTTTTTGGAAGCAGATTGTGAGGTCTTTTCTCTCATGTTGCTACTGGGTGGGTTCGAACTGCCAACCTTTTGGTTAGCAGCAGAGCTCTAAGCCATTGTTCCACCAGGGCTCCTTTGTTGTCCTTTAGTACTGTTCATTTGTCTTAGAAGCTGAAAATGGAATGTGAATAATTTTTTTGTGTGTCTGCACTCATTTTTAGTTTGATTTTGTATTCTGTTTTTAACTTTGTAGGTTGGTACCTTAAGTTTTTTTTTAAAGCATTTTCAGGGGCTAAGCTTTTCTCTAAGTACTATTTTTTGTTGCATTCCAACTTTTTTTTTTAATTGTGTTAAAATACGTATCGTGAACAATTTGCTCTCTCAACCAGCCTTAAGTGTACAATTCAGTGACATAAATCACATTCACCATGCTGTTGCAGCTGTCACTACTAACCGACAGTTTGGATATGTAGTAATTTTCTAAGTATCCAGCACGAAGCATTTTAAATTTCTATTGTGACTTCTTCTTTGACCTGTGAGTTACTTAGAACTACTTTTTAAATTTCCAAATGATTGGACTTTTTGTTTTTATTCTTTTTCCTTTTGTGATTGACTTACAATTTATTTGCTTTGTGTTCCAACAATGTAGTTTGAGAATACTTTGAAATTTATTAGCATGGTCAGGTTTTATAAATGTTCCAATGGATGTTTGAGAAAAATCTGTATTCTCTAATTGATTTTGTTGTTCAAATCTACTATACTTTTAGTTTTTAAATTTAATAATTTATCAGCATAATCTAAATATCAGTTTATGAGTTAGTTGTGTTGGCTCTCCCACTGTGATTGCAGATTTATCTGTTAACACCTGAATTCTATCAATTTTTGCTTTATATGTTCTGCTTTTATATAGTTGGGTTATTTTATTAGATACATACATACTTAAAATTGTTACAACTTTCTAGTGAATTGAATCATTGATTATTTATAGTGATCATTTATAGTGATCATCACAATCCTTACTAAGGCTTTTTTATCATAAAGTCCTGCTTTTCTGATAGTCATATAGCTACTCCAGCTGATTTTGGGATGGCATTTGCCTAGTATGTATTTTTCCACCCCTTTGCTTTCAGCCTTCTGTGTACTCAGGTTTTAAGTGTTATAGTATGTAGCTGGTTCTTCTTTTGTAAAAGTCTAACGTGTCTTAACTGGGAAGACTAGTCTGTTTACTTTTATTCTGGTTACTGATGTATTTGGGCTTTTTTCGTCAGGATTCTTTTCCCCCCTCTTTCTAGTCTTTTTCTTCTTGCTTTTACTTCTTAAATGCTTACTTTTCTTATTTGAAATTTTTCTTTTTCACTCCCTCTCACTTTCCCTACTGGTTTTGAAATGATACACCATTTCTGTTATTTTCATGGTTACCTTTGAAATTTTCCTATTCATACCTACTAACATAGAGTAATATTCCCTTTCCAAAAAATGCAAAGAACTTAGGTTACCATTGTCTCGTATCTTTGTTCTATCTCTTTTAAAACTACATAAAGCAGACATCATTGTCATAGTTTGTCATTTAGATGTTTGTTTAGATTTATATTTACCTGTTTCTTTACTGATCATTTCTTTTGCATTCTTTAATGAAATCTATTCTTAGAAAGCTCCTCCAATGTCGACAGGTTGATGTTAAAGATAGTTCCACTCAGTATGCGATTCTAGACTGACAGTTCTCTCAACAGTTGGAAGATATTATTCTACTGATTTTTTTTAATCCTTCATTATTCCTGTTAAGAAATTTTCTGTCAGCTAATTGGTGTTCCATGCTAGGTAATCTGCCTTTTCTCTATAGCTGCTTTTAAAGTCTTCTCTTCGGTTTCGTGTTCAACATTTTCCCTTAATATGTCTAGTAAGGATTTCTCTCTTTTTTTCTCTATCCTCCTTGTTGTATATTGTGCTTCCTTCTATAGATTTATATCTTTCCTCATCTGTAGAAAATTTGCAGCCATTATCTCTCCCTTTTTAAAAATAATTTATTTTTGTTGTTGAGAATGTACACAGCAAAAACATACACTAATTCAAGTTTATACATGTATAATTCAGTGACATTGATTACATTCTTAGAGTTATGCAACCCTTCTCACCCTCCTTTTCCCAGTTGTTCCTCCTGCATTAACATAAACTCAATGCCCTTTAACTTTCTTATCCTTTCAAGTTGCTGTGGTCAATTTCATCCCATATAGGTAGATCTTAAAAGAGCATAATGTTCATCAACCTTTCTCTCTTCATACTCCCTCTTCTCCACTTTCTCTCTTCTCCTTCTGGAGTCCCAATTAGATACCCATTAGAAATTCTTATTCTCTCCTTCATATTTCTAATATGTCTTAAATGTGTTCCATCACCTTGTATCTATCTGTGCTTCGTTCTCAGCAATATATTCAGCTCTATTTTATCACCATGAAGCCTCCTTTGAATATAGCCAAATCTGTTTATCCATTCAGGGATTTTTTTTTCCTCAGCAATTATGTTTTTCATTATTAAAAGATCAGTTTGGTTCTGTTAAAGGTGTCTGGTTTTTTTGATGTTCTCCTGTTGCTTTATTTTTTTTTCCCGTACAAAAATTTATACATACATTGTTATGTGACCCTAATTGCTCTCCCCATACTGTAACAGCACACTTCTCCTTTCCACCCTGATTCCCCATTTCCATTCAACCAGCTCCTAACCCTGTCTGCCTTTCCATCTCACCTGCGGACAGAAGCTGCCTATTTAGTCTCTTGTATCTACATGGGCTAAGAGGCACATTCCTCACGACTGTCACTTTATGTCCCACTGTCCACTCCAATCCCTATCTGAAGAGTTGGCCTCATAAATTGTTCTAGTTCTGGGCTAATAGAGAATTCAGGGACCATGCCTTCCGGGCTACCTCCAGTCTCACTCGGACCATTAAGTCCGGTCTTCTTACTAGAATTTGAGTTCTGCACCCCACCTTTCTCCTGCTCCATCTGGGACTCTCTGTTGTGTTCCCTGTCAGGGTGGTCATTGGTGGTAGCC